AGCACTGTTTTTCCAAAAAGATTATTGTCATCTTGATCGGCCATGATATGAATCTTTGAATATCACTTTGATCTTTAGTTTCGAGGAAAGAAAGATGAGGAAAACAGAATTCCCATAGATGACGCCATTGATCTTACCGGTTCATCAAAACCTGAAGTGGGCCGATAGATGACGTCTGCAAGGCTGGAATCAAATAGGAGGATGAGGTGTATCTATAAGGCACTTCAACACTCAAGTAAGAAAGAGTGCAAAGAGATACAAGAAAGAGATTAGGATTTTTTAGAATGAATATTAGATACTTGATTCTCACAAGTGTGATGATTTATATAGTTCCCCCGACGCTTGACCATTGGTTCCTATTTTGGGGCCTAGATATTTGGTTCCCCAAAAATATGTAACTTCCAAGAATTTGGTTATGACAGGCAGAGATGCTCGGAAATAGCCATTATGACGAGCAGAGAGGTGCTCACGAGAAAAGATGATTCTGGTCATTTCTGGGTGGTTGTCCTCGTGCGGCTGGCAGGACGAGGACTATCCTGTTTCAGCAGGCAAATGAGGTTTTTTTTATCTTGGGGGTCAACCGACCATGGCTCCTCGGGTGAGGGACAGAGGCATGGTCACGAGCAAGCGTGTTATGGTATTTCCTAAAAGATTGCTCTGCGTGTGGCAAGCAGAATGAGAAGTAGTTGTTGATGCAGACATAGGTGCAGTTAATGGTAGCGATGGTATTGTTGGTCTTGGGGGACAACCGACCACGTGTCCCTGACTGAGGGGCAGAAGGGAAAAGGCATCATTTACCTGTCCTAATTGATTGAGCCAAAGTTATTGGGTCATCTTAGATGTAGGACTGGATTGGGCCATGCCTAGGCATTGGGCCAGACCAGAACAGTGTTCAATATTAATTTTAATAATATATGTGATACTTATCAAGAAAGTTCTAAAAAAAATCAGAAATTGAGATTTTAGTCTGAGAAAACAACTTCATAAACTTCTGGTTGTGGTGAGTAGACAATAAATATTTGCATGATATTTTAGTTGATGCAATAATTAATGTCATGAAAAGTTCAATCTCTCAGATTTTTAATTTTGTAGAAACACACAAAATTTATTAGTGGGAAGAAACTTTTGGTTCTTCAATACTAGTTTTCACATCATGATACATATTCATGATCATTTAGTTGAGAAAACAATTTCACAAACTTCTAGTTGTGAGTAGATAAAAAAACATATGCATGATCTTTAAGTCAATACAATAATTAAATATTATAAAATGTTTAAATCGTCTACATGATTTATATATCGATTCATAAATATCACTTTATATATGTTAAATAAAACTAATTTCACAAATAACATAATTTCGTATCATAATCCATATGGGATGACCCAACCGATTTTGTCAACAACATTCTTAAATTTGATTTGTAAACTTCTAATTTACAATTATGCTTGTGTTTTAATTGTTCTAACCAATTTTAATAATGAAAATATAATTAGAATTTTGTTGTTATCAAAATAAAAATAAATATTTTAAACAAATGATTAATTTTTTATTTGAGTTAATTCTTATAAATGAAATCTAAAGAATTCAAAAAAAACAATTATTTATTAATAATTAAACAAAATAAAAATACCATAAATACATTTAATAGAATAATATTAGAAATAATTAAGAATAAGGAAAAATAAAAATATAAAAAATATGTATAGAAATAATATAGTTCAATAAAAACTATTCAATCATAATTGTAAATACATTTCAATTTTAATGTATAAAAGATAACAGATAAATTAATAGTTATACAATATTTATTTACCCTCTTTTAATAAAACTATTAAATAGTATTCAATTTATTTTTATTAAAATCTAATATGTTTAAAATTATTCATCATTATAAGATAAAATTATTACACTATAACTTATAATAATAAAAATTATAATTTTAACGCCAAAAAGTAAAAGTAAAAATTTTAATCACAAATAAATAAATAAATATATTATTATTATTATTATTATTATTATTATTATTATTATTATTATTATATTTTTTAATTAATGAAATCAAACTTAAAAAAAACATAAATAGTTTGTTCACTTATAAAAATATAATATAATATGATATGTGACCTTTAATTTTTTTTTAAATTATAAAAATTTGAATCACAATTATGACTAATATTTCAAGATATTCTTGAAAGTATATTCTTAATGGTCTGATTCTTATAGAACTTTTATCAACAATGATCAACAAAAATTATAATTCTTTAAAGATGTTTGATATTAAAATATTAGTTCTTCTGAAATAATTTCTCAATCATCATAAAGGATGATATATATAAAAAAAATAGTTGGGCAATGTTCAACGAACGCCATTATTCTTAGATAACAATGTAATCCTTAATGTAATTCTTTAGGAATGATTTAATATTTTTTGTTTGTTTTCAAGAATTATACTTCAGATCTTCAAACAAGAATAAAGATTTATATTTCACTATTATTTTGCTAATTTTAAACATAATTGATGCAATTCTTCTATATTTTATAATATCATAAATGTAATTCTTGTGGGATTCGTTAATAGACGATTTATAAGTTCTTCAGGAATTATATAATGTTATCCTTCGGGTTCTTCAGGTATGCTCTTCAGCTATGCTTTATAAGTTCCCCAGCAACTATATAACGTTATCCTTCAGTATGCTCTTCAGATATGCTTTATAAGTTCTTCAGAAATTCAGAATGCTTTATAAATTGTTCAAGAACTATATAATATTATTTTGTTATCCTTCAAGGATGCTTGATAAGTTTTTCATAATTTATATAAATATTCTTTTGTTATTCTTCAGAGATGCTTGATAATCATCACTAATCATCATTGATTTTCTTTTTCTTTTTCTAATCAATATATTATAAATAATAGGTAAAAAATATATATTATAAAAAGAAGAAGAACTAATGTTATCTTACAATACAAAAGATTCTACCATGTTATGAAAGTAATGAGAAACAATATAATAAAAGAGTAGAAATGAATACTATTTATAGGAATAAATAGAAAATCAATTGAAATCTATAAACATTCGTAATCTTTTCATTTATAACAGTTAATTTTTTTTTTCATATAATAATTATTATAAAATAAAGGAGGAGGAGTGTTTTCAAATCATGTTAATGTGTTTAAATAAAAATATTGTAGCAATGGTGTAGCTAATAATGGATGCATGTGCAAATAAAAATATAGTACATAGAAATTAAATTATAAATATTATTATTTGTTCTAAATATTTGATCTTTTAGGTTTGGACACACGTATTTAAAAAAATAAAAAATAGATTAACTTATATATATTTACTCTTAATTTATTAAGTAAAAGTAATATTCATTTAAGGTATGATTTCGGTTTTTTTTGTAAAAGTACAAAAGAAGAAGAAAAATCAGCAATTGTATTTTGATTTTTTAACCAATATTTAGAGACAAAAATAAAGAATTTAAAATTATATATAGTAACTAAATGTTAATAAGTCTATTTATAATTTATATTCAAACAAGTAACATAAATTTTTTTTTTTGGGAACACAATACATAAATGCATATTTTTATAATACATTGGATAATTTAAACATCTGACTAGCCATAAACCTAATAAATAAATAGTTATTAAAAAATATATAATAAAAAAAATGTGATAGGTACGACTATTCGTCATTTTTTAGTATAAAATAAATTTTAACAAAAAATAAATATAAATAATCTCTATCATTCTTATAACTAATTTTTTTTTCATATGATAGATTTTTTATATTAAAAAAAAAAACTTATAATCACTTTGTTTAAAGGTTCAAATCTTTACGGCATAAATTTTTTTCTTTATTTATATATATTTAGTAAGAAATTTTTTTGAAACACACATGATAATAATAGATGTTTGTAAGATGTAAATCAACTATCAAATGACAATATTGATAAACTCCTTTATTTTAAGTTTTAATATAGTTGAGTGTGTAAGTTTATAATAGTTAATGTCCATTAAAAAAAACATGACAATAAGAAAGATTTTTTCAAGACTCTAACGATAAAACCCACACATATTATAAAATCGAATTCATGCCTTAAAATATTAAATATTTTTGCAATTATTATATGAGTTGTACTTACATAACAAATATAAGTGAGTGTATGTAGTGGTAAAAATTTGGATTTTGAAATTATATTCATCTTAAAGTCTCATTCGAATTATACTAAATATAATTTAAGTTTTTCAAAAAATAACAATAAATATATTATATAAGTTTAATTTAGCGTAAACATCACACGTGCACATATAACATGTCAAAAAACTTTAGTAGTCTTAAATTCAAATCTTATTAGATATAATTTAATTTCTTCAAAAAAATAAATATAATATATAAGTTTAATTTAGCGTACACATCACACGTCCACGTCAAAAAAACATAAGTGTGATTTTTTTTCTCACCATTGTATTACTAAATATAGTCAGATATCAATGGTCAAATATATGCAATATTTTTAAGCATGAAATAAAATTAAACATATGACGTGTATGATTCAATTCAATCCAATAAAACAAGCTTCAACAAAAATATTTAAATAAGTATAGAGAGAATTGATTATTTTATTACAAAACATTGTATTGAGCATTTTGTGAGTGCTACTATTTGAGCATCATACATAAATTTATTTCGCCAAACAAAGCTAGAAAACAAGGAAAGTGCATGTTTCTCAAACTATCTAGAAAATAATATAGACTTGTAAATTGCAATTCTCTCTTTATTTTTACGAAGAGTAACAAGATGTATCGACAATTTAAAAAATTTTATACTGTTATTTAATAAAAATATATTATTTTATTATGTTTTAAAATTATTTAAATTTTTTTTGTTTAATTTAACAAAATATATAATTATAATTAATTGACAGTATAAAATAAATTTAATCATCAGTGTTATCATTCATTTTTCTCTTTTATCAAATGTTATAAAATTTACTCTCGAATGTCATACTTTCGAGCCCAAATATGCTTCCCGTTAACACGAAACTTTGCAATGTGACTTCCGTTCAAAATTTGGTAAGTGTTTCTATGTAATTGAAAACCATAGTTGCATACAAAACTTGACCTTCTGAGTTTGTATTCCCCATAACAATAGTCTTAATGCAATCGACTTCAAAAGTGGTGGTAAACAAATATCTCACCTCATTTTCAGTAACGGGGAAGCCTCTAGAAAACGTTAAGAATATCTTTCTATCTAGATCAGACACGTCTAGATTACTCTTCAATATCACCCCATCATTCAAATCACACTTCTCAAAGTTTGCTGGTGATATAATAAATTCACCAAATACTTTATGAGGGAAGCCAGGAACAATCATGGGTCTATAAGGATAAGGTAGTAGTAATCTACAAGCACTAGAGCTTCCCAAAACATCAAGTAAAATATCATTGAAAATTCTTGAACATATTTTGTTTAGCACGTTTTTAATACCAGCTATCATAGTGAACCTTTTGTACTTGAATAAATGGAGAGAAATTTTCCTTCCCATTAAGATTCTGGTTAGAAACAAACCACCATCATTTGGAATGGGAAAATTTTCTAACTCCAAACAGTTCAAGCAAGATACAGCTTCTTGTGCCACTTCATTGACAAGACCACGAGGGCATGAAACCAATTTTAAAATAAGACTTGGATAGCCAAGGTTTTCTAGCCATAGCCACAAGGCCATGACTAGAAGAGATTGTGATGGATCACGGGCCAAAGTCATAACTAGGACAGAGAAAATTTTACGGTCCATTGTATGAAATTGATGGAGTTGTTGAAAGGAAAAGGTGGCCATAACTTTGAGAAATGAAAAAATGGACCAAAGATGGTTGTGAGGAAAATAGGAAGAGTTATTTGGTATAAAAGCACAATTTTTATGTGTATACTTGGTATTCTTTTGGCACATTGAATATCACCAAATATGAAATATTAGAATTTTTTTTTTTTAAATGTGACGAATTATAAATAAATTTATAACTTTTGAATATTATATTATTTATTATTTTTAATTATACTTTTAAAATAATATTATGTATATCACTTTTAGGAATGATTATATTCGAGATTTCTATCTCGTGCATGTTTGATATCGACATAAATACTCACAATCGCACTCGTCATCCATATTTTTAGCAAAAATAAATTAAGGGAGTTGTGAAATATCATATTATTTTTAGTTTCTAATAACATTAAAAAAATTCAAAGACTTTATTGTTGAAGTACTAAAAATATATATATTTTTATAAAAATATATAATAATATAATAGTGATGTATTTTTTTAAAAGGTTTAATTGCAGTTATATTCCCTTTATTTTCATTATTTTTAAACTTTAATCCCTTATTTTTAAAACCAAAAGTTTCAATTTTAATATTTTCGAGATTTTAATCCTCATTAAATTTTGATGTCATTTTTTATGATGTGGAAGTTAATTAATTATGTATTATTTCTTAAGTGGCTTAATTGAAATTTCAAGTCATTTATAATTATTTTATTATTTTCAATAATAATATAAATAAAATGAAAATAAATAATTGAATTTTAATTACCAAAAATATTATTTAAAATTATTTTATTATTTTAGTAGTAAATTAAAATTTTAAATTTATAAAATAATTAATTAGAACAAATTATATATCAACTTTTAATAGAAATCATTAATTAGAATTAATAAAGATTCTCGTTCAAGAAAGGAGAAAAATGAGCTATGGAGAAAAAGTTGACAAAAAAGTTATTGCTCATGCAACAGTTTTTTCAATCCAAATTGCCAACTGTACCGCCTCTACCATTGGGACGTACAACATCCTATCATCACGGGATCATTCCAAATTTCATGGGCATGTTTAGATGATCATAAGCAAGACCAACTTCATGAGAATCTAAAATCAAAAGAACATAAATTTTTTTGCATGTTTGCATCATTCTGTTTTCCCAACTAGCACAACCCATTGTCAAGGGTGATCGTCTATCCATATCCATCCTTGAAGAATAATACCTAGTAAGAGTTGAAGCTTGTAAACACAACCTACATGAACGGATTGTATGGCCAAAAGGTTGCACACACCTTATCGTTGTTGCCTTGAAGAATAAGTTTTCACCATTATGGAAGAATCTTTAAAGGTGGGGTGTAACGTTGCTAGGTCGTGGATTCTATGAATTTTCCTTTTCTTTGTTGGGTAAATAAGGATCAACAAGGGGAATGAGTGGTAGTAGACACTACACCACCCCAACCAAGCTTACAGGTTGCAAGAACTACCACTACAAGAAAAAGCTTCTTCAGCCACGTGAAATTGCCACGTGATTTTCATGTGGTTAAATAAAACCAGTTGCGACGTGAAAATCACGTGGCAACGTGTTTTAATAATATAAAACAGCTACATTAAGTGTGTCAGTTACGTTTCTTTGTTAAAAAAAGTAGCGACGTGGGATTCACGTCGCTAATTAAAATATCACAAAATTTAATTCAATCACAACTTCCAACACTGGCGTGTGCAGGCTTTGAAGGAAGAGAAAGCAGTTGTAAATTTGTTGCAACGTGAAAATCACGTGGCAACGTTGCGGCGTGATTTTCACGTCGCTACGTGGTTTATGTAACTTATGAAAACGTTCCACAACGTTTCTGTTTCTATCACTTCTTCATCTTCAACCTTCACAAAAAAAAAAATTCCCCACTCTTCAACTATACCCATTTTCTTCCCCAAAAAATTTTCTTCTCCACTCTTTAATTCCTACCATCTTCATCCATTTTGTAAGGTAATTTCAATTTCATGTTTTATATACTTTGTTAATAGCTTTTGATGTGTTATTTTGAGTATAAATTTTTTTCAATTTTTCTTTGAAGGACAAGAAGAAGATTGAAGTATAGATTGCAAAAAGGGACAAGAAGATTGAAGGAGTTACAAGATAAAAGGTATGTCTTGAATTTTTTTTTTTTTTAAAATTAGTATATTTTCTGATTTTGATTAATTTGCATTGGGTTAAAATTGTTGAATTTAGGTTTGAAATATATATATATTTTCTGTATTTGAGTTAAATGTTAGGTTTAATTATTTAGTTTATAATAATTATTAATTATTAATTTGTGATGATGAATGAGTTTAATTATTTTAGGAGTTTAAGTTTTTTTATTTTTAGGAGTTTATAAATTTTTAGTGTTTAAATTAAATTTTTAGGAGTTTAATAAGTTTTTAAATTTTTAGTTGTTTATAAATTTAGGTGTTTAAATTAAATTTTAAGTGTTTAAAAATAAATAAATATTTTTAGGAATTTATAAATTTTAAGTGTTTAAATTAAATTTTTAGGAGTTTAATTAGTTTTTAAATTTTTAGGAGTTTATAAAATTTAGGTGTTTAAATTAAATTTTAAGTGTTTAAAAATATTTTTAGGAGTTTATAAATATTGTTGAAAGCATATATTTATCTTTAATTGTATATGTTTAGGATTATTATTAAGTTGATTAATTAATATTTCTAATTAAATAGGTTTTGATTATATAAATTTGCAGTAAATGGAATATTATATGTATTATCGTAGTTGGATGTACGATAGACTATATCCAGGAAGACGCGCACTTAAACCCAATTTTATAGACGGGGTTAATGGTTTTATCGCGTGGACGTTTGCCCAGGAACGTTGTCGAAGTGAAGGAGGAGTTAGGTGTCCTTGTCTTAAATGTGGATGTAGATATATAATTAGTGACCCAGAGGAAATAACACGTCATTTACATAGGAAAGGTTTCATTGAAAATTATTGGGTTTGGACGCATCATGGTGAAACACTGTCGAGTAATGTACCAGAGACTAGCAACACAGATGCTTCAAGTAGTCAACCGGTTATGCAACCACCTATGGAATTTGAAGAAAACTTTAATCTGATAGGTGACATGGTTGGTGATGCTTTTGGTGTTAACGTGACCTATGATCAACCTGAAGACTTTGACGGGGAAGAGTTGCCGAATGAGGAAGCGCGTAGATTTTATCAGTTGTTGAATGAGATGAATACGTCGTTGTTTGAGGGGTCGTCAGACTTAAAGCTATCAATGTGTGTTAGATTATTGACCGCCAAGTCAAATTGGAATGTTCCTGATCAGTGTTTGGAGCACTTCGCGAAAATGATGTTGGACTCAACTGCAACGAAAGACAACTTGCCTGCGAGTTTCTATGATGCAAAGAAGTTGGTGTCGAAGTTGGGTTTAAGAGTAAGAAAGATTGATTGTTGCACTAATGGTTGTATGTTGTTTTATGACAACGAGTTTGGTACTCAAGATGGATCGTCAAAGGAATGTAAGTTTTGTCATGGTCCAAGATATAAAGTTCGCAATAGAGCCATTAACAGTAACCAAAAACGGGTAGCAGTAAAGTCCATGTTTTATCTTCCGATAATACCAAGGTTAAAAGAATGTTTTCTTCAATGCACAGTGCAAGTCAAATGACATGGCATCATACAAACAAAACAAGCCCAGGCAATATGCGACACCCATCTGACGGCCATGCATGGAAGCACTTTGATGAGGTACATCCTAATTTTGCCGTTGAACCTAGAAATGTCAGGCTTGGATTATGCTCTGATGGTTTTGCTCCATATGTCCAAGCGTCCGGAAGTGCGTATTCTTGTTGGCCAGTTATTGTAACCCCTTACAATCTCTCTCCTGAGATGTGCATGACAAAATCATACATGTTTTTGACGTGCGTCATTCCAGGACCGTCGAGTCCAAAAACCGGAATTGATGTGTACTTACAACCTTTAATTGATGATTTGAAGAGGTTGTGGAATAATGGAGAATGGACTTATGATATATCCCGTAAACAAAACTTTTCTATGCGAGCTGCTTTGATGTGGACCATTAACGACTTTCCAGCATATGGCATGTTGTCTGGTTAGGGTACGCATGGTAGAATGGGTTGTCTGCATTGCATGGAATGCACTAAGGCGTTTACATTGGAAAAAGGGGGGGAAAGCTCGTGGTTTGACTATCACCGCATATTCCTACCATCAAATCATCCCTTTAGAAAAAACAAGACAAATTTCAAAAAGGACGAACGGGTAACAGATTTGCCTCCGCCTCGACTGGCACCAGTTGCTATATGGAACCAAGTTTGTGAACTTCCAAAGTTTACAGATACTGGCAAAGCATGTAGAATTGAAGGATATGGGGTCACACATAATTGGACAAAAAGAAGTATATTTTGGGACCTCCCGTATTGGAAAGATAATTTGTTGCGCCATAATCTTGATGTTATGCATATTGAGAAGAATTTTTTTGATAACATATTTAACACAGTGATGGATGTTAAAGAGAGAACAAAAGATAATGTGAAGGCTAGACAAGACATGGAAATTTGGTGTAATCGTAAAGATTTGGAATTGAAGTCTCAACCAAATGGAAAATTATTTAAACCCAAAGCTTGTTTCAGTCTGACCCCCCAAGAAGTTAAAGTGGTTTGTGGATGGCTAAAAGGTTTGAGAATGCCCGACGGGTATTCTTCAAATTTAGCAAGGTGTGCTGATGCTAACACTGGGAAGTTGCATGGTATGAAAAGTCATGATTGCCATGTTTTTATGGAACAATTGCTACCAATTGTGTTCGATTCTCTACCCAAACATGTGCTTAATCCACTCACTGAAATTAGTCAATTTTTTAGAGATATTTGTGCTTCCGCTTTAAGAGTGGATGACATCATTAAGTTGGACCAAAATATTCCAGTCATTCTCTGTAAGTTGGAACAAGTATTTCCTCCTGGTTTTTTTGACTCCATGGAACATCTACCTGTGCATCTTGCATATGAGGCTTATCTAG